GAGTCAGCTCTTTGCTTCAGGTGGCCAAAGTATTGGAGTTTCAGTTTCATGCAAAACGCCAGGCTGGAGGAAGCACAAGCTGGAATAAAGACTGCCAGGAAAAGTTTCAATAACCTCAGATATGCAGATGACACCACTCTTAAGGCAGAAAGCGAAAAAGAACTAAAGAGCCTCTTGATGAAAGTGAAAGAGGAGAGTGAAAAAGTTGTCTTAAAACTTAGCATTCAGAAAACTAAGATCATGGCATCTGGTCCCATCACTCAAGGCAAATAGATGGGGAAACAATGGCAACAGTGAGAGACTTTATTTTCTTGGGCTCCAAAATCACTGCAGATGGTGACTGCAGCCATGAAATTAAAAGACCCTTACTCCTTGGAGGGGCTTCCCTGGTGGCTCAGACGGTAAAGCGTCTGTCTGCAATGCTGGAGACCTGGGTTCGATCCCTGGGTCGGAAAGATCCCCTGGAGAAGGAAAGGGCAACCCACTCCAGTACTCCTGCCGGGAAAATCCCATGCACAGAGGAGCCTGGTAGGCTACAGTCTGTGTGGTTTCAAAGAGTCAGACACGACTGAGCGACTTTACTTATTTTTCTTACTCCTTGGAAGAAAAGCTATGATCGACCTCAACAGCATATTAAAAAACAGAGCAATTATTTGCCAACAAAGGTCTGTCTAGTCAAAGCTATGGTTTTTCCAGTGGTCATGTATGGATGTGAGAGCTGGACTATAAAGAAAGCTGAGCCCTGAAGAATTGATGCTTTTGAACTGTGGTGTTGGAGAAGACTCTTGAGAGTCCCTTGGACAGCAAGGAGATCCTACTAGTCCATCCTAAAGGAAATCAGTCCTGAATATTCATTGGAAGGACTGATACTGAAGCTGAAACTCCAATCCTTTGGCCACCTGATGCAAAGAACTGACTCATTTGAAAAGACCCTGATGCTGGGAAAGATTGAAGGAAGGAGGAGAAGGGGACGATAGAGGATGAGATGGTTGGATAGCATCACCAACTCAATGGACATGAGTTTGAGTAAGCCCTGGGAGTTAGTGATGGACAGGGAAGCCTGGCGTGCTGCAGTCCATGGGGTCGCAGAGTCGGACACAACTGAGTGACTGAACTGAACTGAGCCCTGGAATTTGCCATTTGCATTTGGGCAAACTAGCTGGGCTCACTGCTACTAGGATGTCATTAGTTCTAGCCTTTTCATTACACAGTTAGGAATTATATGCATGTCTGTATGAATGGACATTTTAATCACAAGTTCATATGGATAAACTCTTAATTCCCATCCAACATTGCTGAGGTCTTCACTGCCTTCTTCTCTTTCCTATTTTCCCTGCTTCTACAGTGAAAATCCTAGTTCCCAACATAGAAAGGAATTTACTCATTTGCTCAGTCCTACAATACACACAGAATAGTTGTAAAATTGCTATGTCTCTACCACTATACATGACAGCCTACTACACCTGGTTCAAGATTTCTTGTTTTTATTTTTGTCAGTCCTTTTATCTTAAGTTAAAGGTATATAATCAAATTCTGTGTTAAAAGTTTACTTGGATTCATTTTTTTTTATTCTGAGAATTTGTTATTAAAGTATAGTCAGTTCATCTGCTGCTATCTGTATTCAATTTTGGAAGTTTTTTACCCTCCCAACCTTGTTAATTTCATTTTTAAAAAAATATAAAATATTAGAAAGTTTCCAAAACTCATAACTACACAAAAAGGTGTAATCAGAGCATAGCCACTCCCTCCACCATCCCTTTTACTCTGTTCCTACCCATTCCCTGTAGGTAACTAATTAGTTTCTGGTTATCTCTTCTCTATTTACTTATGCTATATCAAAATATTATGTTTTCTCCACGTGGAACAGAGAAATGGGACAGAATACCGGATCAAGAAAGAATTTTAAGATGGAAGACATAACAGAATGTTTGCATTATAATGTAAATGATTCCACAGAAACTGAAATTGAAGATGTAGAAGAGACAGGATAACTACAGAAGGAAATATCCATCAAAATTCCTTCTGGTTTAATTTGAGGGACATTGAAGGATTCCCATATTCCAAAATAGACTGCCATCCTGTTTGCAACCTTCCAAATTACTAATATCTATGGCTCTGGAGAACTCACATAAAAATAGGGTTATTATTCAGAAGGATAATTAAGCTAATGCTGTTACTAAAGTTGGGCTTCCCTGGTGGCTCAGTAACAACAAATCCACCTTCCAATGCAGGAGACATGGGTTCAGTCCCTGGGTCAGGAAGATCCCCTAGAGAAAGAAATGGCAACCCACTCCAGTATTTTTGCCTGGGAAATCCCATGAACAGAGGAGTCTCACAAAAGAGCTGGACACAACTTAGAAACTAAACAATTACAACCTATTAATGTCAGTAGGAGAAATTCTGTCCTGGCAAGAGGGAAGTTTCAAACTTGACATTTAAGAGGAAAAGAGGTGAGAAGAGAATGACTAAAACGAGGATGTGTATAATAGCACTGACAGATAATAATGATTACGCTAGAAAAATAAACTCACATCTCTAGGAACCTCTTGGAAAATGTACTAACATGCTAATGAGTAACAGGGTTACTCCTCATGTCCTGATGCTGTCAGTGCGGCACAGAGGGAGGAACATAAACTTCACAGAGAGGTCTGGCCTTAAATCCCAAATGAGTTACCTAACAGCTACATAACCACTGGCAAGTTATTACTTAACATCTCAGAGTCACAGTTTTCTTACCTGTAGAACTGGATAATGTCCCTTTTACCATGTTAACATAGGACATAAACAGAATAATGTACAGCATTGCCCCTGGCCCAGATGAGTGTGTGCATTCAGGTGTGTACGACTCTTTGTGACCCTATGGACTGTAGCCCACCAGGCTCCTCTGTCCATGGAATTTCCCAAGCAAGAATAATGGAGTGGATTGCCATTTCCTTCTCCAGGGGATCTTCCGGAACCAGGGATCAAATTTGTGTCTCTTGCACCTGGCCCAGAACATATGTTTAATAAGTAGTTCCTATAATAAACACAGATTAACAAGGTAAAGTGCTACAATAACATGCCTGAAAGGAATCAGTGAAATCACACCATCTCAGGCAGTATTTGGGGCTTTCTGGGTAGCTCAGCAGTGAAGAATTCGCCTGCAGCACAGGAAACATAGGAGACTTGGGTTCAATTCCTGGGTCAGGAAGATCCCCTGGAGGAGGTCATAGCAACCCACTCCAGTATTCTTGCCAGGAAAATTCCAAGGACAAGGAGCCTGGTGGGCTCCTTAGTCCATGGGGGGACACAGCTGATCATGCACATATGCAGGTGGTATTTGCTAAGAAAAAAAATGTCCACATAATTCCAATCCTCAATTTTCAGAATGTCCCAGAATCTATTTTTAAAAGTGTAAAAATATGTGCTGACATACTAAAGTGCCAATGATTTAAAAGAAACCATTCTAGGGAGATGTTGATCAAACGTTAAAAACCTCTGGTTATAAGATGAATACCTTCTGGGGACTTAATGTACAACATGGTGACTACAGTGTGGTTCAGATGGTAAAGAATCTGCCTGCAATGGGGGAGACCCAGGTTCAATCCCTGGATCAGGAAGATCCTCTGGAGAAGGAAATGACAACCCACTCCAGCATTGCTGCCTGGAAAATCCCATGGACAGAGGAGCCTGGTGGGCTATAGTCCATGGGGAGGCAAACAGTCAGACACAACTGGGTAACTAACACTTTCACTTCACTTTCACTGCATACTTGAAAGATGTTAGAACAGATCTTAAATACCCTACACACACACACACACACACACACACACACACACAGCTAATTATAGGAGGTGATGGATGTATTAACTAACCTTAACATCCATAATCATTTTGCAATTTATATATCAAATGACCACTTTGTACACCTTAAACTTACACAATGTTATATGTTAATTGTATCAATTAAATCTCAATAAAGCTGGAGAAAGTAATAATAGAAACTATTCTGCAAGTTAACAGCTAACAACTCAAAATAAACTAAGGAATGCCTACAGCTCACAAAGAAATGAACATAAATGTATTATAAGCAATATTACCCAATCTTATAATTTTATAAATTTGTATACACACAAGAGAATTAAGGACACTGAATAAAGTGATATTTTAAGTTTCTATTAATCTAAGTTAACTAAGTTTCAAATTAATCTACAAACCAAAATGTAACATGGAAAGTCTTAAATGACCTTTAACTAAATACTGAAAAATACAATAAACTTTCAGAGCCTAGAATCAGTAACAACCCCAAAGCCCCACACGTTAAGAGTCTTAATAAGCTCAACAGCAATGAGACTCAAAACATACAATTTTATCCTACAGACCGTCGTTTTCCTCGCCGACTAGTAATGACTTCTCTCTCATCTTAAATAATCGGTGTGTAGTCTATTTCTGTTCTAGAAGATGTGCTTAAAGGTCACAATCTCAGTTTGCAATACTAAGATGATTAGAATGCATCAACAATGCAATGCCGAATGTCTTAAGAAAACTTTCCAGTAGGGTGCTAATCCACATATAGAGCTTGTGGAGGGAGAAAGACGCATCCACACCCTTTACTAAGAGAAAAAGAAGGAGTGGGGGGAAAAGGGAGAGAGAGAGAGAGAGAAGCAAAATAACAAAGCACTGCTTCCATAAACAAATGAAAGTCTGTTCTTAAACTTGGGGAAATTCTATCTTCTTCTACCAAATAGCAATAAAACTACAAGGCAATCGTTTGTGTTTCGAGGCAGAAAAAGACTACGGAGAGAAAAGGAAAAAACATTTTATCATGTACTGAACTTACAAGTATTCAAAATCCTTAATCCCCACCTCCACCAAATATCCACCAAATACTGAGCATCACATCCTTCTCAAAATAAATCTAACATGAAAGCACTGGACTCATTTTTAGCACTCGGTAGAGAACTTTTATATCTCCCAGCGCTCACCACCCAATAACCCTTCTGGGCAGCCCTGAATAACCGCTATTCTCGGGACAAACACGAGCTCGCGTTCCAGTGCCCCGGAGGGGCCTCCGGTCGCGGAGAGTAACTAGGGGTCTGGAGGCCAAGGACCACTGACCGCCCCCTCGCTGCCCAGAGCCAGAGGTCCCAGCCGCCCAGGAAGTGCCCGAAGCGGCGGCCGAGCGGCGGTCCCCGCACCCCAGCGGAGTGCCATCGAGGCGCACCCGCCCCGTCCCTCCCAGGCAAGATCCGCCTCCCGGAGTCCCCAGTCTTCGAGTCAGGAGGGACCTCGCCGACCCCGAGCCGGGTTCCGCCCGGGCGGCCCCGCGCCGCCTCCCGGGCCAGGTTCCGCCGGGGAGGAACCGCGGCGCCTCCTGCCCCCGCGGGGCGCATCGACGAGCCGCAGCTCGCGCGGCCGCCGCCTACCTGGAGGGAGCTGGGGCCCGCGTGGACTGGGGGTGCGGAGATCGGCTAAGCGCTCAGCCGCCCCTGGTGCGCGAAGCCGGCGTGCAGAGCGCAGTGCACCGCGGAGACCAGCGCCGCGGAGATCCGCCGACCACACCCAGGCCCGCGCCGCCCAGCAGGCAACTCCGCGGCGCGCGGGGCCGGGGCGGGGACGTGGCTCGAGGCGCAAGGCGCGAGGCACGAGGCGCGCGGACTCGGCGGGGACGCGCCGCGGGCGCGCGCAGATCCTGGAGCTTGCGCGTCCCGGGTTGGGGGGCGAAAGCTGCTGGCGCGGCGCTCAGCTTTTGCTTCCTATTTTTTCTCTCGTTTCCTGCTAGAAGGAGAAGAAAAACATTAATTCCCCGGGCAGTTTCGTTTTCTTGGTGCGGCGCCTGGACTCTGAGCACACTTCTGAGGAGCGCCCAAGTGGTGTGGCCGGTTTCCTTCCTGCCACCGCGTAGGCCTCAGCTTGCTCGTGGGCTGGATAGAGGGGCTGACTTAGGAGACCTCAGGTCCCATTTAGGTTTCACATTCTGTGAACTGAAGCCCCGAGTCTTCCAAACTTGCCTTGGGATCCCAGCTCTATCGTCGCTAGTTGTGTGACTGTGTACCGTCTCATGGACTGTCATCGTGGGCAAAGTGGGGCTAGTGTACCTACCTCATGAAGGTGCGAAATTTTTTAATGAGGTAACGTTTGCACAGAGCCTGCCTCTGAATAAATGATCAACGCTTGGAAGTTATTGTTACTGCTGTCGCTGATGAAACCGGGCCTTCTAGATAACCCTGTCAATTCGCTCATCTCTGCATGAGTTAAACATCATAGGCAACCGACTTTTTCCAGATTTCTAGGGCTGTTTTATGTTTAAAATGTCATAAAATGAATGCATCTACCCAGTTTGCTTCCTCTGAAGTCAGTACCGCCCGGGAGCAATTTTCCTCTCCCCCCACCCCCATCTTTCTTCTGAGTTAATTCCAGTTTGACAGACTGTTGCTATAGCATTCCTTCTCTGACGTCAAACAATTTAAAGAAACAGCCCTGGGTAGCGAAAACTGCAGAGGAGTTCTTTGTGGAGTTTCTGTGCTGAAGAAACGTTTGAACAATATCATGAGAGAACTTTAACACCTCCGCAGCCCTCCATTTCTTCTTCAGCAGCTCCCCACCATCACCTGGAATAAATTTTTTAGTACCTTCATGATGAGCACACCCTGACTGCAACAGAGGAGAAGATGTGACCGTTTTGTAGAAAAGCCAGACCATGACAAAAATGGAAACAGCTGTGGATGATGAAATTATAGGTGGTTCCCCCGCCCACCAGATTTTTATTTTTCTTAATGTGGGGTGCTGTTTCCATTAAGAAAAAGGAGGAGACATGCCAAATCTTCTACATATATGTGTCTGAAAAGCTAATTGGGACCTGAGTAGTTTGCAGTCGTTAACTGTTTATGTTTTATTAATCAAATCCTGAGCATTATCATTGTCATGTTTAGGAGGAAGTGAAGGGAATTTATTATTTAAGGGACTCCTATTATGTACCAGGCTCCCTGCTTTCTTACATTGTACTTAATTCTCCAGTGTGCAGTCTATCCCTGTCTTACAGATCAAAAAAAATAAGTCTCAGTGAGATTAAGTAATTTATATAGAATTGCACAGCGTCAGACTTTGTATGGAATCCAGATTGTATCGACTCCAATACCCACTTGCTTTCAGATTCTTTTCTGTCCCCTACTTGTGCGCTGGCACTTAACAGATATCGTAGGTTTTTGAGAGGTGGTTGGGTTAAGATTATCAGTTGAAAAGGAAGTTGCTGGTATTTAGGAAAACCCAGTGGAAAATATTGAGTTATTCTCTTCCAGGAACGATTAGGGAAAACATAAATCAACAGCTCCTAAACACAAAAACCTGGAAAAAAAATGTTACAAGAATTTTACTGCCCATTATTTGAAGATTTATGAATAAGTTACACAAAATGATCACTTCAACCTTCCTGAAAATTTGATGAGGACCGAGAAATTACTGAAAGAATAAAGTCCAAGTACAAAAAAAGAAAGTTAAATTATTATCCAAACTAGTTCACTTCCAAGAATATTATATTTCTGTTTTGCCACATCTGCTGCACATTTCTCTGAAAAGAACACTTACTTGTTAAAGGACAAGCCTGTGTTACAAATCTGAAAGTGGAGATGATGAAAAGAATTTCTGTAGCAGGAATAATGTCCTAAAAACACAGTGATACATCTAACTGATCCAGCAATTAGTAATCTTTCAAGAAAGAGAAGGAGAGAAAGAAAGAAGGAAGAGAGAGAGAAAGAGAGGTAGGTATTATTAATATTCTTCAAGCCTGTGGATTTGTGTAGACAATTGTGTAATGATGTATCCTGCCTGCTTCTAATAATTAAATCCAGTGTTCTTGTGTTTCGATGCCACTGGCTGGTATTTTGATTTCTAACTCATTAACTCCATGTTGGCAAATCCTATTCTATTAAAAGAGGATGGTGGGGGGCTCCCCTGGAGAAACTTGGAAGTCAAAATTCCTGTCTGTTTCATCCTTGTGTTCTTTGTGATGTTTAACAGAATACCTTGTAGATTCTAAGTAAGCAGTGAACAAATGAATAAATAAAGGCACCTGGCTACTTCTTTTACTCAACCTTCATTCCGACCTCCCTCAGGCCCCTACTCAGAATCATAAAAAACAGAAGAGTGATCACTGTTTTTCTGGGAGTTCAGTTGTCATTGCTTCTGCAGGGAGTTTTGCTCACTTATAACCAACTTCAGAAAAGCTCTGCTGTTGGTTTCTATATTGGATGAATCTGAAACCGATTCTCAAAAAGCTACGGTAGAATCCACAGTGCATAGGTTCATAACCTCGGCTTTTAAATCATCCCCTCAGTTCAGTTCAGTCGCTCAGCCGTGTCCAACTCTTTGCAACCCCATGAACCGCAGCATGACAGGTCTCCCTGTCCATCACCAACTCCCGGAGTCCACCCAAACCCATGTCCATTGAGTCGGTGATGCCATCCAACCATCTCATCCTCTGTCGTCCCCTTCTCCTTCTGCCCTCACTGTTTCCCAGCATCAGGGTCTTTTCAAATGAGTCAGCTCTTTGCATCAGGTGGCCAAAGTATTGGAGTTTCAGCATCAGTCCTTCCAATGAACACCCAGGACTGATCTCCTTTAGGATGGACTGGTTGGATCTCCTTGAAGTCCAAGGGACTCTCAAGAGTCTTCTCCAACACCACAGTTGAAAAGCATCAATTCTTCAGCGCTCACCTTCTTTTATAGTCCAACTCTCACATCCATACATGACCACTGGAAAAACCATAGCCTTGACTAGACGGATCTTCGTTGACAAAGTAATGTCTCTGCTTTCTAATATGCTGTCTAGGCTGGTCATAACTTTCCTTCCAAGGAGTAATCATTTTTTAATTTCATGGCTGCAATCACCATCTGCAGTGATTTTGGAGCCCAGAAAAATAAAGTCAGCCACTGTTTCCACTATCTTCCCATCTATTTGCCATTAAGTGATGGGACCGGATGCCATGATCTTGGTTTTCTGAATGTTGAGCTTTAAGCCAACTTTTTCACTCTCCTCTTTCACTTTCATCAAGAGGCTCTTTAGTTCTTCACTTTCTGCCATAAGGGTGGTGTCATCTGCATATCTGAGGTTATTGATATTTCTCCCGGGAATCTTGATTCCAGCTTGTGCTTCCTCCAGCCCAGCATTTCTCATGATGTACTCTGCATATAAGTTAAATAAGCAGGGTGACAATACACAGCATTGACGTACTCCTTTTCCTATTTGGAACCATTTTCTAATGGTTTGGAACCTATTTTCTAATCTGCCGTTTAGAAATAGTCTAGTTTTTTTTTTTTTTCTGAGCCTACTTTGCTGTCAGACAATGCCAAGTACATTATGAAGAACGCAACAGTCAAAGTGTACAATATCCCACTACAGGACTGTTGTATGTGTTGTATACATTCCAATCTATTGTATTCAGGATGACACCAAGTTCTATACATGGCGTATACTTTATAGAACTAAAGTAACAGATTTTCTTCTAACTACAGCTAAATAGTTCAAAAATGTTAATGGAAATTGTTTTAACAGGATTTGCAGCAGAGTTCCTTAAGGATGTAAGAAGCAAATCCTTAGTAGACTCTAAGAAGTGAGTTTGTGTGTTGTCTCAGATATCCCTAATCCTGGGCAGTCATGTCCAAGCCCTTCCCTCTTGCTCACACACATTGCATTTTGATATCAGCTGTTTTACAGTTTATATTTTGAGCCTGCCTTTACTGTGTTCTTCTGATCTGTTCTCCTAATACAAATAAGTTAAAGCTCTTGCATCTTTCTTCCCAGGTCCTCTAATGGTAATTTGGGTCTATTGTCTATATGCACATCAGTGATCTTAGTCACTGTACTTGATTAATGATGTCTGTCTCAGGCATAGAAGGGGAAACAGAATCACCCAAGCATATATTTGCTGCTCTAGGTCCTATGGTTCATGTCTCTGGAATCTGTTATTGAAAATGGACAGGCAAAGTGGAAAGAATACTAAACTGCACATCAGAAGACCTGATTTAGAGCTTTGGCTCTTGTACTAAATATCTGTGTGAGCAGATCATAACCTGCCTGCATTCTGTCTTCTTCAGTATACAAAGTGGGAGTGCTGGATCTTAACAGGGTTGGCAAATAGCAGTGATGCCATCACTCAGTACTGTGCCCAACGTATAACTTCACTAGTCAGAAAAGGACTCTTTCCCTCTAAGCCTCATTACCATCCCCCAAATTCTTCTGAACACAGGTATCCCCCAACCTTTTCAACAGTTTATACCACTTCACATTTATGAAAGACCTATATTAGAATCTGTTTCTTTACTAACTGAAAGAAATCCAAGAAGGATTTTTGCTTTTATGGGGAAAAAAAGGCAAAAGGCGAAAATAGCATTCAGCATTTGTTTTCCAACAGCCCTGGCAGAGGCAGTGCACACCCGAAGCAGCAGGGAGTGCGGCACCCCCCAGCTCCTTTCAGTCAGCATCTCAGCATCCAGCCTCCATAGCTTTGAACTGTGTCTATGGATATCTGGGCTTTATTTTGTGCTTCCATTAGCAAGATGGGTCCTAATATAATTACTTCTTCACTTTAGACCACTTTGGCTTACAAATGGTTTCCTGAGGTTCTGCTTTTGAATAGTGGGGGAAACCTGTACCACACCCCAGGAAGGCACTCTGATCTACTTATAAGTGAGAAAAAGCGTTGTATCAGGGGGCTTTCCAGGTGGCACTAGTCGGGGACAGCCCAGATGGTGCTGGTGGTTAAAGAACCCACCTGCCA